TGCTCCTTGGGTTTCTAGCATCGAAATGTCTGAACAATGCTCCCATTTTTTTTTTGAAACAAAAAATTCTTTCAAGTAGTGTGTCTTGACAGAAAAAATGCTTTTGGTTTAGGATAGGTTCTGACAAAATTTTTTTTGCATTTCCTGCGGATTTCAGCTGAATTCACGCTGCCCGTAGTAACTGCATCATCTACAAAGCTCATCAACATTCCAAGCAAATCTGAAGCGTTGAACTCTCGTTTATCTCTCCCTCCTCCATCTACAGCGGCATCTACAGCAGCGATAGGAGCATCAGTCAAGCCGTTGGCCCCTGCTGTTCTTCCAGCAGCTATGGAAATTCTTCCAGCACCGCCGTTTGCCAAACCCGTGACCTCCAATAAACATCGCTCCTCCTCTGAGGATTCTAGCACTGTTGCCCCCACTGTTACCACAGCCGTTTCGACGCTAAGACGTCGACATCAGTGCCCCTTCTGCACAAAAAGTTGCGAGAGGAAGGATAACCTCCAGGCACACATACGAACTCATACTGGTGCGTACCTGCCCCACACCTGCATGCTTATCCGAATAGGTACTTTTGCTTCATGACATAGTCTAAGCCTGTTTTTGCTCATCCTTAGTCTCACCTTTCACGCAAGTTCGATTGCAACTTCTTCCTTCGATGCATTCACTACGCGTGTTTTAAACTTCTTGGCTGTTTTATACTGTCTTTGCCCGTGAACTTCCTTCCTCGTATTCCATTTTTTTCATGTTATACATTTGTCTACCATACTCGCTATCAGCACGTTGCACACTTGACAGATCATTTTCCGCTACCACACTTAAACGCTGTCTGTTACCAGGCAGTACCAAAATTCATCGCAAACAATGTTTTTGTGGAGTGCTTGTGGGTGGCGAATGTTATTTGAATTGGTGAACTTGGGTGTTTGGTAGTCCTGGTAGCAAGCATTAGCTATACTAGTCCCCTACTTGAAGGTGGTATTTCGTTCGTCGTTTTCCATGGCTCGGAAATGCTGATTCAACGTGATTCCTCCTTGATTTGTTTGTATCTCTGGCTTTGTTTCTAGCCTACGCCCTGTTTGCTGTTCCATTTTTTTTAATCTTGCTATTCTAGAATAAAATTAGTCCGATTCATTCGTCTGGTCTTGGCTTTTTTAGTCTCACTATCTTATTCCTTCTTTCATGGTTGTAGAACCGTAAATTATTTTTTTTACTCATTCAAATCATTTGCATAGTTAGCTTCATCCTCCTCTGGTCGCAGATCGCACATACGCATTTCAGTCTTTCCTTTTTGGAGCACTCACCATCATAATTTGTCATCCATGCTTTAGGAGATACATGCTAGGATTTTCCTCTCTGTTGCTTGTCCTTTTTTTCTATGAAATCGAATAACCCTGTCTCGTCCATCTTTGTTCCGTTGCACTTTTGGTTGTAATTTGCATTTTATTTTGCATTGTCAAGAAAGGTTGATATTCGCTTTCGTTGTCTTTTGCTTCTGAG